TAGATTCGTTAATCGCCTCTTGAATTTTGCGCTAGATATATAATTTGAGCGTAGTCTGTCATCAAGTAGCATGTCGTGACGATCGTTCTTGACCCGTGAAGTTGGCCGCGAGATCTACGATTTCCCGCCTCCGCCATATTGAACTCGTTGCGTCTATTCGTACGGCATCACGGATCGTAATCGATATCCAGTGGATCGTAATAGCTTCTGCATAGAATGCAGCAACGCTTGCCGCGCGGCGATAATTGGCTCGAAAGTCAAAATCAGTTTATCACTTTTCTATAAAAGCAAAACAATGATTGGCTATCCGTGCTAACTTTCGCTGCACGGCAAGCGTTGTTGCGTCCAACGTGTGCAGGAGTTCTATATCTCTATACGTAATCGTATCTTGTCAACGTCGCGACCTCGTAAAGTGCGCGTTGCGTGTGATTTGGTGTGATTGTCGCCGGATGTTCTATATGTGAGGTATTGCAGCGAGCGTCATATTTTGCCAATCAGTCGACGCGCGAGTAACCAACTTTTGTAAGTAAATATTGTTAATATCATTATTCTTGAGAATCTCGTGCAAGTGTCACGTTATTAGATACTTAAAAAAATTTTTGAGCGCGTCTTTTCGTAATGCCTAGATATTGACAAAGAAATTGCCATCGAATGCAGCATATCGCATTGGTAGTGTGAATGAGCGATAGTTCCATCAAATGAACTCCATGCGACTGTAGTTATTTGTTCGATGAATTTGATGCGTGCTGTCAGTATTACTGATTCAATATTATTGGGGATCTGTTCTTGAAAAGAAACGCGCGTATACAAAAGTCTAGGAAAATACTACAGTATATTATAGTAATTTTACGTATATTATAGTATTTTTTTAGTTTTTCGTATAGGTACGTTTCTTTTAGAGCCCCTGATCAGTGTTTTACTGATCGTGTATGGTCACCTGTAAACCCAGTCATACGTAGATAACTTGAAATACACAATAGTATTCAATTATTTTTTGCACAACAGCATTCTTTTAAAATTAAATATCTGTTTATGAAAGATAATTAAAGATATTATTGTGTGTGATGACTACTTTTTAAGATATTGAAACACTGCTTTAATTTATAATTATATATTTATATAATAATTACATATTTGTATGTTACAAGTAAAAAAAATGTATAATTACAGTCCCACTGCTGCGCGTCTTGTGCTAGTGAATTAAATTATTTTTTATTTTATTCTTGAGAGAGAGAGAGAGAGAAAGAGTTATAATATATTAAATGTATATAAGGTATACATCTACATAAAATTTTCATAAAACTGTAAAAAATTAAGTCTTTTTCTGACGATCATTTAGTCAGATTATTTAATAGCAATTTACTACATGTGTATGTGTATTTCATATACTTTCAATCCTCATATGTTTCTAATCGTGATACGTATAAAATTATATAAATTACAATTTGTAGAATTTGCTTACAAAATAATACTTACATATCATCTAAAGTAACTTTTAGTTTCTTAAGGGTATAAATTTGACTTTCAGTTGTATATTCCGTTGGTTGAAGCAGTAAATTTTCATGCTAATTTATTGCAGTAATTAGATTTTGGTATTTAGAAAAAAGTAAAACTGTCCTTCTTTCTATTGCATGATTGAATAAAGAAAGAAATGCTCTTAGAAAGAGAAGCACGATATTATTTTCAGTTTTTTAAATTACTAACTTATTATTTGATTGTGAAAAGAAAAAGAAAATAGGAACACAATATGAATTAATACATCAAAATAGAAATAATATAAATAATTTAATTTCGAGATTCTTGATATAGCAAATATTTCGCGTTTTTATATGTTAGCATTAAAAAATTTTATCTTTTCGTTGGACTATTAAAAATTTTTACTTTCTCTAAAATCTTTGGAATATAATCTAAAAAGTAAAATCTCACTCTTATATAAAAATTGACAATTGAACCTTTTTTTTTTCAATATTGACTCAATTGTCATTCATTGTCACTTTTTAGAGAAAACATGGAGATAATTATATATAATCGAGAATTAAGAAATCTCATTGTTACAAGACATCCCGTTGTCTTGTAACAAATATTTCTAATTTCCATGTTATGCTAGCGATTTTGTTCGACTGTTAATTTTATTGTGTGAGTAAAATTTTTTTGCTTCGGGCGTGACGCAACATCCACAGCAATCGAGAATTGATTGCGAGTGACAATAATTTTGCAGTCTCTGTACCTTTACTCGGTTCTCGAATGGAAAATTTATTGTCTGTAGAAAAAAAAATATCGATTGTCCTGTTAACAATATTGTTCAGTCCCTCAGAAAATAGACAGTGATAATTAAACTATTTATAAAGTATAATTCGTGACTGTTGTAAAGATAAGGATGACGTATTTCACTAGTTTCACCTCGGACGTTAAGGATCATGCGTACGAAACAATAAAATTGCTACGTTTTCCTGAAACGTAAAATAAAAATTTTTTTATTAAATCAGTTGTTATGATATTTATAAGATTTCTTAGCAATTATAGTCCGCTCTTTAAATCTTAATAATTATTAGGATTGTGATTTAGTTTTGAGGGTCTTTTCTCAAAAACTGATTTATTTAAACAAGATAATGAACAAATACTTAATCAAAATACCTTAATCAAAATATTTTCCTTCGTTTTGTATAACTTTTTCTCATCTTTCTGGCAAAAGTTGAATTGATTCTGCGATGATAAAAAGATTCTTCTTTGGAGTTGATCCAATTTTCAACAAATTTTCGCACATCTTCAAAATCATGAAAGTGTGATCCTCTAAAGTCTAAAGCATATTGCATTGAATGGAACAAATGAAAATCAGAGCAATGTCTGGAGAATATTGCGGGTGCGGTAAGACTTTCCATTCCAGCTCCAATAGCGTTTGCTTGACTGATAATGCAACATGAGAATGCAATGGCATTTTCTTTTCTTACAAATCTTTCTCATATCATGTAAATGTTTAGTAACTGTTGTATGATCAACATTTGATGCTCTGGTAAGTTCTAAAATGGATTGTGCTGGATTTTCGTCCAATAATGCTTGCAAATCTGCATTTTCCATCTTTTTTGGTTGTCCCGAACGATCTTTGTCGTTAACATTGAAATCATTTTTGAATCATCTGAATCAATATTCACATATCTTAATTAATGAGGCAACATCACCGTAAATTTCTATCAGAATTCTATGACCTTTATAGCCGTTTTCTTCTGATTAAAAAACAAAAGCAACATATATCGAAAATGCTCTTTAGGAAGCTTCATTTTTAAGATGATATAATCACGATGTTTACTGCATCTATTGTTAGTAAATGACTAAATATTATGGAGTAATATTAAAGGATTAAAAAACAATTACTGTGATTGGAAAGTCTTCGACAACACTGGCATTAGTGCCATATCTTGCAACACTCTCAAAATTAAATCACACTCCTAATAAAATCTAAAGAGCACGTATAATTTCGTCAGTGTTTATCTTAAGAAGATTTAAAATTTTTTCTGCTGTTTTCTTTTATCTTTATGGTGGGATATAATTTGATTATCTTGATGAAGATTTTAATTTAACTTTCAACATAATTAATATATATTGATTATTTCGTTGTTTTTTTGATTCTTCCTTATACATGATTTTAAGCAGAATATGTAAATTCATGTTTATGCTACATTTATATACGTATGAGTGTATTTAGATCTATATGTGTATATATATACACGTTTATTCGCAATATTTACAGTAATTAGTACGGCGTTTAAATACATATAGGTACACTTTATTAAATAATAACAATGTTAAAAATCGGCGCATCTGATATTCTCAAACGCAAATCGTAACACGAGGAATGGACAACGATGTTTACAATTGCGCGTACCATTCCTAATAGCGTTAAAAGCGTGCAGAAGACAGTACGACATATTGTTGATTCACTTTTTCAAGCTGCGTAATGGCTACATCTCTAGTTTCTGTGAAACGTGCATTTTTACAATGAATGAAAAAGGACATGGAATTATGTGTATACGATTAATATTGTGGCTTAGGCTTTCTTGTGGATCACATGGTACATCGTTGCCAGTTATTAAGTTCGCGTCATTAGGCTCGCTATACGCTGTTGACTTTGCTAATACTTTTTAGATGTGACTCAATGTGATCGTTGTACAAAATATATCGAGTCAAATAATCTATATATACTTAACTATTTATATACGTAATTATACTTATTTAAAAAATATCCGCAATAATTTATTTAATATCTTCTCACACAACTAACAACGATCCGTTTAAGTCACATTTAAGCGCGAGTAATCACTCGTCGCAACTGCAGATAAATATGCCACATATTTAAACGATTTTTTTTAAATGACTTATTATGATTAGAAACTTTTCATAAATTTATAAAACTCTTTCTAATATATTATAATATACATATATATATATTATCATGCATATATATAATTGTTATATATGTAATAATTACATAAAATATACATTTATAGTAATTATATACGTATAATTATTATATTATATATATTATAAAATATATATATACATACATATAATATATATATATATTTTACGAATACGCTAAGTATTTTTGATGTATTCTAAAATACATTGACTTTAATTGTCCTCCCAATTTGTTATTAAAAAATCTATTAGTAAATTTTTGAAACTATATGCAGATTATTAAAATTACTAGAATATCGTTAGAATATAACGAGTTTATTTGAAATTTGCACATCGATAGTTTTATGATTAAAATGATCGATTAATATCAACTATTTCAGATCATAATACATGCAAATAACTCTTGTAACTTACGTGTACATACAAAGGAGACGTTGCTGTTTGACAAAGTTGATTTATAAAACGAATGTAAATTGATGTAAGTTGCAAAATTTATTCGCACTCTTTTAGTCACTTATTCACTTTTTCATGATTCAAGATACCTGACAAGTGTCGAGAGACTTTAATACTCATTGCGAGATCTTCGTATTGCTATAAATATTTCGGCATCAAACAGCAGTTGCGATTGCTAGGCTCCTATCCTTGTACCGAGATGCCCCGTTTTGTTTTGTTATAATAGAATAATCAAATTATCCGCGATGCAGTCTTGAGGTGTTCTCCTGGACAGTTGCACTCACTCTAAGTCACGCTGTAGGCAGCGGATCGACTTGGAGATCGTTTTGCGCTGATGCGCCGTGCTCCGTCAAGTGTTGACGGCTTGCCTGACGAACAGGTACTCCGAGAATTGTTGGCCCTCTACGCCGCCGCCGTTGCTCGCCACCACCCGGAAACCGGCATTCAGCAGTCTGGTGATCGCCTGAACGGAGTTCAATTTGCAGTAACCGTTTAGTGGAAACCGTATGACGTGACGGGCATCCTGTTGGTGCCAAGCAACGCCGGATCGCGCATCGATCACCGCCTGCGTCGTTTCCGGAAACACTTCGTCCAGCAGCGCCCGTCCTCCTGACAGCATCACCCGCTCGCCGAGATCCGGGCTCACGTGTAACGCTACGCACTCGTAGCTGCAGTTACCGTCATTACCGCGCATCTTCTCAGAATCACGATTGCAAGGCGCGGTAGTGCAGGCAGTGCCACGACCACCGAGCTGACCAGAGGGCGGAGGACTTGGCGAAGTTGTGCTCATTGTCGTTGTCGAACCGTTTTTTATACGCTCCTTCTTCATCTGCTCCAATTGCCTACACATAGCTGAAAGAAAAAAGAGCGTTAAATTCGAGGAGAATGTACTAATGTGACAGAATAATAATCTTGTTTCAATGATGATGTCGCAAATACGGGCAGTTCGCGATATTGATAATTAGTGGAGCTCACGAGATTTCGTCTCTATTAATAGTATTCTAGTTCCTTTTGGTTATAAATGGATTTATATTATAATAAATTATAAAAGTGCTTGAAGAAATTTTGCACGTAAAATGCGATTTTAATCAAAACGCGAAATACTGATTAGTGTTCCGAGGGAGTATATTTTATTGCCTTATTCTTTTATTTTTATAGTACTCTGAATTCTGTATTATTCCTGTAATCGAGTAGTAAACAACTACTTTAGAGTTTGTTATTACTATTCCATTATAGCTGAATATTACACAAAGACAGTTCAGAAGTCGGTCAAGAGAAATGATATATCGTTATATCGCGATTTATATTAAGAACGAAAGGCAACTTTATCATCTTTGTTTTATTATGCGACTGAAATTGTAATTTCCATATCGTTCTCGCGCGTAAACAATTCAATTACGGATATTAAAGTAAAAACAAAGCATAAGAAATGAAATTAAAGAAACTTACGCGCAATATCAAAGTATCGTGCTTCCTCCAGCAGCAAATCTAGGTCGGCAAAGTTGTCGGGTATCAGCAGCCGGGAATTTCGCATAAAATTCAATATGTGCCGGAACATGCCACCGTCTCTATCAATGAAATAGTGTTGTTTTAGCGAGTCCAGAACGATGGGGATGCTGCCGTTGAACAATTTCGCTAGTCTGGATTCCGGGTACCTGAAAAAAAATCACAAGATTTTTTTAATAAAATAAAATTTTCATGTGTGAAAGTTGTAACTTTTACAACTTATAAGCATTAATCATTGATTGAAAGTGCGTATGAGAAAATTTCGAGAAAGTATTATCGCGTTTGATTCATGAGACTTCAACTTCGAAATCGTTATGTGACTGATATATATACGTAATTATGATCGACATTATTTATAAAAATTTACTTGAAATCCGAAGTTAAGAATTCGATGTATACGAATTGCATATTTAATGTCATGAAAATTACACTTTCTATCAACTAATAGTTAACTGAGTGTTGGGCAGGTGCTGACACTTTGGTCACCTGCCAAAATCGCTTCAGGTAGCTGCGTGTTGTTTTCGCGATTGATGGTTGCGTACAAGCAGCTGTTCATTTAACAAATTCCAACTCGACGCACTGACTGAATTAAGTTTGAGCAGGAACTTATAATTATTATGAGAGCTCGAGAAGTGAATCGTGATAACATTATCTTAAATAAATTGATTAAACGCCTTTTTGAACCGAAAAAGTACATATACATATATTCAGATTTAAAAAAATAAACGTTTAAAAAGTCTGAATATGTGAAATATTCGAAAAGTACGAATTTTGAATATTGTGGGTTATTCGAAAAGTAGGAATTGAATTATCTGAGTGAATAAAAACGCAAATATAGGACAAAAATGACATTTCCAATCACAGAAAGAAATTCAACCATTAATAAAATCCATTAGCCGATCATTTATTGGAAGGTTCCAATTTAATTCAGTTTAATTAAAAAAATCGTTCATTATTGAAAGAAAACAACGAAATAGAAAAGAAATACAGAGAAGAATCGAATTGGGAATTTGTTATGTGTGAATGAGGACAGAACGGTAGGATCATAAAAACAGCGTAAGATACGCGCATAAAATCTACTTTAGCAGATATGCAGATGCACGTGTGTGTATGCTTCCCGAAGCAGCAAGTCCATGCACCGTATGTATCACTTTTTCCGGCTTCTTTAGAAAGTGCCCGTGACATTTTCGAACGCGTTTCACAACATGTTCGCGAATGCTGCATCGTTCAAAGTAGGCTGCAGCTAATCTTCTTATTACATATCTTTGCGTTGCCGTTACAATACCCCTTCCGTGCTTCGTAATTACATCTCGAAGATAATAAGAATAATGTAACGTTTCGTTACGCATTTAATCTCGCTATAAATTAAAGCTATAAAATTATAGAAAAGAGAAGCTCTTGCAAGAAAAATTATAATTTTATTCTTTTATAGCGAGATAAATTTAATTAAGTGTCTCAAGGGTTTTATTATTAGCCACGATATGGAAAATCGTAATTGTACGATTTCGAGAGAGGAAAAATTTATACGAGATTTCTGATCTCCTCACGTGCAATTTTTTTAAACGGACATTCTAATTTAGTTCTTATATCAATTTGATAATGAGAAATTGTTTTGTCTTATAACATTTCACTTTATTAATTTCGTCTGGATTTTTTAACGCTCGTTATTTTAATGTTACTGCGATGAAGAACGATAAACTTCTTTCTTCGATAATATTTGACATAATTTTTACATAAAAAATTCTCGATATGCATGTAAAAATTCGAAAAATCGATTGTCCGATATTCTGTTTTCTGTAGTTAATAATGCCACGACCTCGTAAACGAATCGCACTTGTGGAATCCGTGTCAATCAGCTTCACGGCGTTTGTTCGCATGTGTTCTCGGACGTGCCGTAAGCGATGCCGCGTGTTCTGCATGCACCGCGCCGAAGGTCGTCGTAATTTAGCATATAATAGACGAATGCTCTGGGAAAAGGACGATGAGGGAGGGGGGGGGGGGGGGGGGGGGGGGGGGATGTAATAGGGAAAAGGACGGATGGAAGAAGGCACGGTTGACTCTTAAGGACCGCGATGCGACGAGAGAGGGAGAATCGGCTCTCCTCTCCGTGTATCTCGTCGTTGTGCGTTATGGCACAACGAGGGGGAAATACCGAGGTAGGTACCTGGTACCCCCTCGGGCCGGTTCCCATACCTTCCACGGCGATAACATATAATAACGACGGCCTCATGGAGCCTGTGGGCGATCTGACTTCAGCGAGGAAGAGAGAAGACACCGCGGGGTAGATACAAAGATGTATACATATATGGAGACTCTCTCTCTCTCTCCCTCTCCCTCTCTTATTCTCTCTTTTCAGCCTTCGCCCTTTTTCTTTCTCTTTCTTCCATCTCGCTTTCTATCGACTTCCCACTGATACTTTAGTGTAAGAGGATAGAGAGAGAATCGCTGTCAGAACGGGGAAATGAAAATCGCTGGATTTTACCTCAAAGCGTGCGCGAAATTTTATACGGTATAGTTAATTTTCTATAGAATATCGAAGCGAGTTATTGTAAGGGAAACTTCACTCTTCCTCGGCGAACAAATCCCTTCTCTTTCTTCGCTGCAATTGCCGCGGGTAAATTAAAATTCACACTGTAATTTTGGCCAGTGAAGACGTGAAAATGGTATACTCTGTATTTAAATGAATATTATTATATCTCTTTTCTCCTTTCATCTGTTATACGAGACACATTTTCCGAACATTTTTCTTTTTTGTATTAGATTGAAACATTTAAATGCAATAATAAATATTTTATGAAATTCTTAAAAAGTCAAGACAATCGAAAATATATATATCAGTTTATATAAACTTCTCTCTATGATTAATCTTACTTTCGATTTTCTAAATTCTCATATTTTGTTTTATTTTCTAAAAAAAAGATGTAATAAATATTCTCATAAAAATGGAAATGGAGGACGGAAACAATAGAAAAAGCTGGTTTAACTTGCATTAAGAAACAGAAAACAAGAGAGAAAGTGCGAAAGTGATACCGTCAAGAGAAGCGAGAACGAGATATGTGCGCTCGTAGGCCAAGGGCCATCGTTGTCTGTGGAGGTCTGAAAGACGGAAGAGGGGTGATAGCGGGGGAGGAAACGGTACCGGGGGCGGAGGACGAGCACCGTGATTACCCGCGGCGATTTCTTGGGCCCACCGAGGTCCGATCCCGGGTCAGATCCGTTCGCTATGGGAAAACGCTAAACGATCGGCTCACATCACTCAGATTCCGCTCTGCTTTCGACATACACAGGATATATGTTCGATGTCGTGTGAACGTTACTACAGTTACTTCTTGATAAATTTCGAATTAACTTTACCTCAAATATTCGTCGCGAGATTTAATTTTAGACTTATTAAACCACGATAAATTAATATAATAAAACTACAGAAAGATAACAAGGTATTTCTGATAAGTATATTTAATAAAATGGATTTTATTTTAACAAAATTTTAATGTGACATATGAAGATTTTCAATTAATAATTAAGAATTTCGTATTACAAATAAAATATTTGTCCTTGCCTTTTTAATGACTAAGAAGATCGTTGGATGTATAGAAGCGTTTTCACCAATCTGAAATTTTACGCGATAAATCGTACTTCATGAACGAAAATAAGGATAAGCGAATGCGCTCATGTGTGTGGCTGACGCATATGCGGAGATACGTGTGAGCTCGAGAATGAGACGGGCGGCGCGGCGCGGCGTCCACCGAGACATTCCGTTATATCCCACTAAATTGCACGTGTCCGACTAGAGGGCGAGGAAATGACGACTTGGTACTTCACCATGGGATACCCTCGAGGCCTTGTACAGCCTTCTCAACCGGCAGGATGATCGACGATGTTTTAGGGATTATGTGATACCGGAAGCGTGGACTAATGATCGGCTATTACGTCATTCCTGTAAACGCTTGGTAGAAAATGCCGATACGGCAACGATTAATCTTTCGCAAGGCACGTGGAGTCCGCTTTAGGTCGATATTGTTGCATTACGAGTTATTAAAAATTGTACATGACAATATAAAAAAGTAATTATCGTGGATTTCATAATTAAAATTCAATTAATGAAAGTGAATAAGAACATCATAATTTTATACGTAAATTTAAATAATATATGTTGATTTTTGTGTCATAAAAGTAAATTTGCAGAGAACTTAAAAAAGATTACAACACGTTGGGATTAATATTTTATCGATCATTTACTTAATATTGAATTGTTTAAATAAATAATTATTGGCGGATATGTGTTTTGTCAAAGTATTATTTCGATTGTCGGATGATTGCTCTAAAATGTAATTTACTAGAGATGATTTAATTTAAACAATTGACAGACCGGTTAAGCGGCCAATTCAAGCAACACAGTTATACGTTCAAAATACGTTTAATAAACGTTAGAAATTGTGTAATAAACGTATAAACTGAAAAATAAATGTTTAAAATTTGATACGTTTTTAAACTATTTAATAAACGTTATGAAAACGTTTATAAGACATTTGTACGTCTATTAAATGTTTTTTACTAGTTTAATATACCGTTTTTATGAGACATTTCAACGGTTTAATAAACGGATATTTAACGCTAATAACGTCCATTTTACGTTTTTATACAGCATAAAACCGTTTCGGCTAAATAAATTTTTTTTTAACTTCAATTGTCCGCTTGGAAAAGTAACAATGTAAGAAAACAAATGATACAATCACGGCATAGAACAAAATAGTAATCAATTTTAAAACGCGTGTAATATACATACAATGCAAGAATTGCTCTTTTCTGTTTCGAAAATGAAACGTACATATTTTTATACGGAGTGTTCCGAAATTCGAGGATAATATTATTTTCGCGTGAAACTTCGTGAAAAATTAAGTAATAAGAGTGTAAGCCGTTTTCTCCCGCAAATTTTAAGTATAAACGTTTAATGTTTGACTAATCATAAATATTGATTAAAAAATCATCTGTCCGTGTGTATAATGATAATGGATACTAAACGAAATATTACCGCGCTGCACGCACACTACACGATTGGATGACTTTTTCACCAACGTTTATGATTAGTCAAATATTAAACTTTATATTTAAAAAACTACTTTACGAAAAGAAAAAAATGGTTTTTATTACTTAATTTTTCACACAAAGTTTCACGCTGAAATAATATTGTCCTTGAATTTCGGGATACTCTGTATATTAAGTAAAAACAAGTTGATATTAGATGAATACCGCATGTTCGGTATACAATCCTGTGGTTATCGCATAAATAGACATTTACTAATTAACATCGTGCTAGGTCCGGTGGGTTGTTACGGGATAATAAACGTTTGGCTTTATTTCGAAATTGCCGATTATACACCGACGATTGAACTAAATTAATCAGCAGCATGAATTTATTATTCGTGCGCATTATATTGACCTGTTTACTTCATCTATAACGTCGTATAAACGAGGCACCTAAATATGCGCAGTCTAATAGAAACTGTTCTCTATCCGTTGCGTTTATTAATGCAAATGAATCGCGAATATTTAATCACTTACACGCGTTTTAGAATATATGCGTGTATTATATACTTAACCAATATTCTACATCCTTTAATTAATCGGAATTTTTTCTCTCGAGGATAGAAAGTCGAAATCCAATTGAGAAATTGTCAAGTGCTCTGTTTACGATAAAAGTACGAGAAAATAAATTCTTATCTTTATCCAGAATCATCAAATGCAATCTTGTTGTACGGAAAGCGTCATTGATGCCTTTCCATTTGAAATTGATCCTCTAGATAGTTTATTTGCTACAACAAGTAAATAGATTTTTTCAAACCCAATAACTCTTTATCTGAAACATTTTTCTAAAAAAATGCATACTTTCTAAGATATTCCGCTGTTCCAAGACAATTTCTCACTATAGTATACGTTAACGTTAGACATCTTTTACGATTGTTCGAGTTTCTTTGGAATGACTGGATTATTAGTTTAGTTCGAGGACATGTCTTCCGGCAGTCATTTCGCATCGTACTTATTATTGTTATCTTCTTGTCGCATGATTCTAGAGCACATCGTTAGCCATCTGATGTATATAAGTATCAGCACGAACTTCAGCGCTAGGAATTCTAAGTGCAAACTACGTCAATATCGTTAAATGACAGCGATGATGTAGCTACTGTAAATCAGTTGCCTCAGTAATATCACGCTAAAATATATGGTCTCTCTTGTGAAACAATTTTAATGTTGTTTTAATGGCAGGGAAAGCTCCGATTGATGCGCTTATTTTGCTGAGGATAATTAAATGCATGCTAATGGGTAAGCGATATGACGCGATGATTTTGTCAAACGCAAAACAAATTGCATAATATAGAGGTTGCAAATCTGCTTTGGTAGTCTGTGCATGATTTTTAGGATGCTGATGATATTTCATTATCGATATACAAAGCGAATAAGCGAAACGCATGTGTCATTTCGTTGATTAAATTTATGATTCATTTGAACGGAAAGAATGATAGTAGTCACCAGCGTAAACCGTAAATCCCACTTTAGAGGTTGTATAATTTGTGTATAAATTTTCAAATTTGGAACAGAATTCTCCTAGAAAATATATATATGTATGTATATCTGCAATGATATATATTTTCTACATGTGTGTATTTTACTTCTTCAGATTTTTTCTATACGTGACACGTAAAATTATAAATAGAATTCCGAATTCAGTCGTGAATTATAAATCGTTTAAAGCGGATTTGAGATTCGAAAAATTGATTAATTATAAATAGGACTAGCTCGAATAGAAAAAAAAATGGAACCTGTTTGAACTAATTCTTTTTGCAAGAAACTCGTTGTCGAATGATATCGTTGTTGATATATATTTGCATGATATTATCATTTGCGACGCACGACGCAGCCGAGCAGTATCGGCTGATACTTTCGACAAAGCAATAAGGTCACGTCGTGTAATGAGGGAGGAAGGTGCAACGAAGTGTGACGATGGAGTTGGCGGAGCGGGGCGGGCAAGCTGTCAATTTTACGTGATATTCATTTTGCACTCTTGCTGGTTGCTCGATACACCGGCGACACTTATCCTGTCGACATTTTCACAGATTAAATCACGGGTGTGTTCGCGATGCGCACCATAACGGTTCATAGAAAACGGACCTGCGCTCCACTAACTCGACTAACGATAATCCATGCATCGCGTGTAAATTTGTCTATCGCATACTGTTGTTAGTTTTAGCTTAGTTTAGTTATCCTACTGATCTAACGATTTTCGAATTATTTCCTTACAGAATATAGCTGTTACATCAAAAATAATCCGTTATTGTTAAACGAACACTGAATTGATTATATGATGAAATTAATATAACTTATATTTTTCACACTATTTATTGTTTTGAAATCCTTTTCTATTATTTTTTAAAAATAATACAAAATTAGTATTTACTAATACATTTTATTTGAACATCTAAAAAAAATAATTAGTGAGGAATTCTTAAATTTTAAAGTTTATCCATTAAAAAAATTTTTGAACAAAAAAAATTATATGATAATATTTCTTAAATTACTTATAATATGTATATTAAAGGTAATAAAGAAGTCTTTTAAAACAAAAATAGCATTATAATAATTTTAGTAATGAAAAATGTGAATTATAAATATTAATTTTGTCACCATCAGTAATCAATTCAGTGCTTGTTTAACAATTATTTTTGGCGTATATCTTATACAAAATAACATATTACATGATACTACAAATTATCGACTAAATCAATTTTCTTTTTTGATTTCAATTTTTGACATACAATTTGAAGACGAATTAACATTTTGTTTACTTCGCATTTGTTTTTACTTGAATTGTTTGATAAGAAGTTTGAAAATATCAGTACCAGCGAGTACTAATGTATCCATCACGATTTTCTCGCTCCTTCATTATGGATAGTCTTGATAGAAACATCTTCGCAGCAAGTCAGAACTCATTGCCTATTCAGTTAACGAGACGAACGATAAGACCACCTGTCAATTATGATCAGCTTTCTCACGAACGCATCTATCGCGGTTTGCTGATGCTGTACCTACGTATGCTGTATTCTGACGTCGTGCACTCGTGATCTCCTTGTGAAAGGAATGATTTTCCTCACCGCTAAGCGCGCTGGATATTCACCCGCGTTGAAGATAGCGTATTAAGCTCACGTAACAAACATTACTTGAAACGAAGATCATAAGGTTACGGCGACATTTAGCAATTTATGTCTAGTAGCCATTAAATCGTTGCCGTGTATATCAATATAAAGTCTAATTTATTATGCAAGTGAAACGTATGGCATTAAATTTCAATAATTTTAAGATTATTAATTTATTCCTCTTGAAAAGATAGAGAAAAACGACTAAAGGAAAGAGAAGAATGGATAATAGAAAATTTATGAATAACATATAACACTTGCATTGATCATTAAAGTCTAATTATGTCCTATGTATGATTTTAATTTAATTGTACGTGTGTTTATATCATTAGATTTTACTCTTAGTGTCAGAGATTTACTTATACTTATACCAGTCGGAATCATGCGGAGCATAATACTCTTAGATTTTTCTTGCCAGGGCAAAGAGGATATCTGCGGGGTGATACTTTGAGGAGATTAAAACCCTCTCTATAAGCAAAGCGCAGTTGTGCTTTCACGTTATGTCTCTTTTATGCATAAAGTGCACGGACATACCGCAAATAGCCTTTGGACATTGCCGGGCACGGTAACGGTGTGCCTGATTGCGGACGATATGTTCTCAGAGATATTGCCCAGTACGAACATCCTGGAGCGTTGTCGATGGTCACGTTTCCGCGATCCGGACATCACGCTCCCTTTCTACTCTCTCACTCGCTAGAATTTCTTCATGCCGCTTAAAAGTCACACTCTGTGCTTTCGCGGAAGGCTCGAAAGATATCCGTTCCCGATATTCATATATAACTCACTCGAATCATCGTTGTCTTCTTTTCGTTATAATGAAAAATATTTTCTGAATATGTATACGGAAAGAACATAATTTTGCTGAAGTCTATAAATTTAGCTATATACTGATCTAAATAATTTTGTTATACATTATAAAAATAATTACATATAGGAATCTCTGACATGATAACTAATGCAGCAAGAGTTTTGACATTCTAACAATCAATTTGAGTATCCCATATTATTTTGATTTTTAATAATCGGACCTATTTAAATTTTTAGATACTCGAATAAAATTATCTTTTCCATATATATTTTTTAAAATAATGTGTTTTTTCGCGAAATATGCACACAAAGCTCTAGTAAAAATCAACGGCATAAAATTATTGTGAATCTCAGTCTTGAATCGTTGACGTTTAATACTCCTTAATGATATAGAAATTAAATTTTTATAGCACTTATTAAGTTGCGGAAATGCGTCGGATGATTGTTAAAAATTGTTTAAATGAACGTATTCTTACTTCGTTAAAGTCTCGAGGGAGGACGTGTATATCGTGCCGCCGACGTCGATGTGAACCGGTGCAGTGTACCTCGAAGCGGCCGCTACGCAAGGAATACCGGTCATCTTCTGGTTGTAAGCCGGGGCCGCCGGCGTTGGTGGTGTTGGTGACGAGGAATTCGACATCGTGGGCGATGTGGCCGGCGAACTGCTTGGCGACAGCAATCTAAAAAGCACTTTTGATATTAGACACGATAAGATTACAGCTGGTTACTAACCAGAATTTTTGGCAGAAAATTTTTTCGAATATTGCTTCGTGATCGAATAAAAACCGAAAAAATCCATTCCATTTTTGCGCTATCATTATTTAAAAATCTCAGAATAGCAATATAAAACTTTTTCTATTTATTAACTGTATTAGAGCTGCGATATAAATTGAGATGTGATAATATTTCTATTCTATCTTTGATACATTTTACATAAAAGCTGTACGTTATAGCTATTGTAAATTAAGTAATTAGCTCTTCTATTATATTTTGTATTGCGTGAGTTCTTGTGCTACATTCTATATAATTTTATATGCAACTCTAAGCACGACCAGGAAGCTAATCAAACGAAGGCGAACTATGAGCTATGAAATCGTGGACGTTGTGATTTACGATGTATGAAATTAAATGACGCTTACGGAGAGAGAATTTTACTGAGTTATATAACTCTTTCTCGAATGGACTATTCTGGGACGACTTATATTGGAACTCGGATGTAGACTTATTTACCTCATTTTAATTTGAGCGCTAGGGAACATATTGCGTTGCGCCGTCAGCTCCACCTTCGCCTCCTTCCCATCGGCCTCACATTTCCGTCTGAAATGAAAAACATATGGATATTATTTAGTTGTACGTATTGTCAATAAAAGTTAAATATAAATTGTACACACACACACACAACACAGCAAGTTTAATGTAAAATGTACGCGCAAGCCATTTTACATTCACGGTGATTAACATATAGATTCGCATATCTTTAGTTTCCTTGTCTTCCTCTCGTGTGGATTTATATTTCATATCGACTGAGGGACTTGGCGTAACATTTACCACAAATTAGATCCGATCTTATGAAATTTTCGTTATGTATTCAACGCTTATACCTTTTAGGCATAATACGCAGGTGTCGATTTAACGTATCGATCCTCACGGCTGGTCGCGGACGACGATAACCCTGGTTTAACGAGCTATTGTTTTTGGTCAAACATCGGCAATGCTGAATCGACTGAGAGCTTGGAACATTAACGCGAAATTCTCATATGCATTAATAAGGCAATTAGCGGCGTAACAATATTTGGCGGGCGCTAGGTACTGGCCGTCCAAGGGTATTCTTTTAAACGCGCTTTCAGTGGAAAGGGTTGGTTCAGTTGCAGTGGTCGGTTTGGTTCGCGAGTTAGAGGCACCCCCTCGAATTTTCATTGCTACGTGCTCGTGAAAGGCCGGTACGTTGTATTAACTATTATCCAGAGGCCTGCTTTGCATAGTGTAATACATGGTTTTCGCTGGACCAAGAGGATCTCGCTGTTATAAAAGGAGCGACTAATAAGAAATAATAAAAACAAATTCAAAGTTTAATAATTTCAACGTAAACTACCGTTTCCATCAGACTGCTGCTTGTGTAAAAAGGATATCTATTTTTTGAGCTTTTTAAATATCGTATCTTGGTTAAATAATTCAATATTTATCTTAACATATATGTTTTTCTATGACTTGTTACGATCGATCCCAATTAACAAATTACAATTCAATCCCGAGATATTGATTTATTTTGATTTTATCCCAGTATTTTTCGTCCGTAAAATCTCGCTGCGCGTCGTTCGTAACAATTGTGAGACTCGAGAAGAAGGGACGCGCGTTTAGTCGTCTCTTCGGTACTCGTTTTCCACCGTCCAGCGAAGAATTCGCGATGGTCAGAAGAGACGGCACGTGAGGGGGTACCGGTTTTCTCCTCCACCCACCCACCTACCCACCCACCCTCGCCCACATCAGTCCACCGCGCCGCCGTGCCGTTGCGGTGCATCGCCGCGGGAGACGCCGCCGCGAAATGCGATGCAGCACCTTTTCTTGGCCGCGCTGCGCTGCGAGAGGTCGCCGAGCGATGCGCCCGCGATGCCTCTCTTCTGGTGGGGAACCGGCGCGGCGCGGCGGCGGTCGCCGCAAGTCGGACATCGGGTAAAAGAGTGGAGTAAGAAATGGTGTGGAGTCGGCGGAGGCGGACGAGCAACAACGGCCATCACGGCCGCGCTGCTGCTGCCGCAGGCTAATCGAGAGATTTATGTGGAGCTATGCATTTACGAGTATAGAAACGAATATACTCGCGTACGGGGATTCATTCGGGATTATTGTTGTGATCTTTAGCATCGATGAGGGATCGATCATTGTCGCGCTCTCCTGTGGAAACACGTGTCGCGGTCTGGATGATCGCGCATTCACGGTATTGCGGCGAAATTAATGGCTTTTCACGGCACTTCAATCATAATCTCGCCGTGTTTAAAAGCATGATGTTTGAATGTCAGATGCGGCCGAGATGAAAAATCACACGATAGCGTTATTGGATTAGAAAACGGGAGGGAAAACGGTACACACTATTTTCTTCTTTTTCACCATATGTATCAATTTGATATTGGATCTACTTTTTCATCTTTTTGTTTGCTTATGTATCTTTAAATCATTTAATTTAGCGATACACGATAAACGAGAAAAGAAAATAGTAGAGAATTGAATTTTACGAGAGCGGACGGGATATATAGTTTCGATTCAGGTATACCTATGCTCCTCATAATACAACGTTGAAATGACCAGCAGCGCCGACGAAAGAAGAATCTGAAGCACGATATAGCTATAACAATGGCGATGATCATCATGGTCGTTCGAATACCTCGGGGCGATTGGTCGGTGTACGAATGTACATTACGGTCGACGTACTGAAGCCACTCGCTTATCATTATGCATAATTACATGCGTAAAATCGACAATTAATTCAATACAGAAATTAGTATTTACGTGTGTAACAAACAATTTACGTAAATAATTCGACACGTTGCGATATTTCGTAGTAAGATTAATATTGAAAACGTTTTGCGATCTCGATTGAAACGAAGCCTGGACTGGCGCATTGAGTGTAAAGAGATTTTCCAAGATTCTCGTATCGCGCGTTCGCGGAGAAATCCTGGAATATGGGAGCCATCAGGACGAATGCCGTAACGATATCCGCAATAACGTCCATTGCGACGTGGCGATGCCTCGAGCCAATTGTATCTCATACGCAGATAGTTTTATTGCATGCATACATCCGCATATACGCCAACGGGTATACGCGCATGGATAAAGATAGGTGGAACACAATTATAATGTACTATCTATCTGTACAACTGTCTGCGTACTAATACGACTTTCTTGTTAATGTGACATTACGTACAACGCATTAGAATAAACGGACACTACGTCTGCGATTGAGATATCCAAACGTAGTACGATGATAAAGAAGCGCTGATTTTTCTTGAATAGTGTTCTTTTCTTTGTAGATTTTTACCTCCTGGATACGATAAAATTGTTAAAAGGTTTGGAGCGTTTTGGGGAATGCCTGAAAAATTAAGCATGAATACGGTATATCTATCCAAATTTCAATATTCTTGCTCAATTTTCGAGGTGCTCCCTGAAAAAAACTTTTTAATATTATAAAAAAATTTTTGGTATCCAGGAGGTTTACAAAATATCTACAAAACCATTATATTTCTTTTACTTTTACACATCTTATTGAGCAAAAATCGGTATCTTTTTACATCCTCCTTCGTGAAGCAAAACCTGCCAGGTCATTTAGATTCTAATGTATCCATCTGACCTTAATAATACCGTACGTAGAGTATAGACCGCGTGTAGAAATACAAGTTGCAAGCGGTAGTTGACGTCTGGCAGGCACGCGTCCGACGTCGCGAAGGCGAAAAGCGTTTCACCGGGCGTGAAGATGCAACGTCGTCGCCTCTCGAACGTCAAATTAGAAAGGACGGTGAGGAAGAGGCAGGAGACGTCGTCCGCAACGACACACCGTGATATCTGGCGTTATTACCCGAGGCCACCGGAGCCTCTTACCCAGATACAATTCTGATATGTACGCACGAATGAACGTGTGAGCGCGCGAGCGACCACCGACACACGCTGCAAAACGTATAAATTCGCGTTAAGGTGATCACAGCCCGAGGACACGACGAGGCGGCTAACACGCGCTAAGGACGCGCGCGTGCACGATGTCGTGCACAGAAGAAGAGCACTACTAACTTCACGTGGACGTTTAATGGCCCGAGGACGTCGGCGTATGCAAATTTGAAAGCGATCTGTTATATCGGGCAACGATGTATCATCGGGAAAGTCCGCCAACAGACGTGAAAATGAGCCAACTGCCGTAGCGGACCATTTTGTAAAAAAAAAAAGTCTCAAAAGCTCACGTGAGTTAGAAAAATTATACAAAGGGGTGTAATCGAACGAGTACGTGATCGGAAAAGTTTCCAAGTTGTATTAGGTTAAGTAATTTGAAATAAAACTTAAAAATAAACATACGTGAAATAAACTTTGTACGAGAGAGAAATACGCGTCATTTTTCATCTATTTATTTGGAAAACAGTTTATTTGGCCAGGAAATTTTGTTGGACGGAATATATCACATTATATGCGAGCTAACATTTGAGACAAAATATTGGACTTTCCTATATATGTATGTGCGAATGATAAATTTTAATTATTAAAACCGTTTCTATCGATCTTTTGGAAAATCTTGTCTGTTTATACTCGTGCGGGTACAAAGCTAAAATAACAGAGACATCAGACGGAACCACAAAGTGATGAAATGATACCGCATGTGAATTCATTTAGACCAGTCGACTGGATTTCCCTCTGGTGATTTCATTATGAGGGCCAGTCAGATCGGTTCTCTCTGAATAATATTTGTAATGGATCCATTTGCGAGCGCGCACGAATGTTCGAACCGCAATGTTATTAACGTCATAATCTAGAGAACGTAATCTTTGCACCATAGCTAGTACATTGGTTTTCTCGAAATAATACGATATCGCGAATGAATTTTAGAAATTATCAATCTGATCTCTTACATTTATTTAGACATTCTTATTTTTAGAGCAAGAGTAGTTTTATCTGTATTCCACGGAGGTTTTAATCCACTGCATTTGTATCGCGATATTTGTGCATGTAGGCCGGTATAGGTTTCAAGTGTGCTTAATCAAATGAATTTAACCATCTGACATTTCAGTACCAACACACCATAAACGCATATACTTTGAGTGTCTCTATAGATAATTCGATATTTTCAAGGAATGCATTGTACATACATAACGTTGCATTCCGATGAATATTGACAACATGCGTAGTTGAGGTTCGCAATGGATGCAATTTTAAAATATCACGCTTTCTTTTCTTTTCTGAAAAAGGGAATAATATAGGAAGTACCAAAATGCTCTAAATGCTTTTACTAATGCCGAAGGTTGGAGTTGTTTGGAGTTATTTGATAAAATATTTTTTTACTATTTTTGTAGAATTAGAAAGAGAGATTATTGTAAAAATTGTACTATCAAAGAAAACTCCGACAAATGTTAATGACTTAATGTGTTTAGTATGGCATGGAAGTGTGCCTTTTTAAGAATATTACTCTGTAAGCGAAAGCATGTGCTTCATTCGGTTCTCATTCGTATCACTGCGCGAATGTTTCGTAAGGCTTGTGCTAATCTATCACGTTTTGTAACAACATCTTACTTATAGATTTGCTTAGCCACACTTTGCAGATTGTATAACATGTGAATACTTTCCATTTA